ATAATTAATTTATTTCGCTTTTGTTGTTGGAGAATTTCAAACATTCATTTAATGCATTTTGATCAAATCTACTCATTTCCTCCCCTACTCCTCCTCCCCTAACTTTCTACCACTTTTCCCTCCCAACTATTTGTGCCCCCCTTTTAAACCTGCTGATTCTACCTAACGCTGCCTGTAGGGGCATGGGGATGTAGGACCATTTACAGGAGCATGGGTAACCTCTAGGAGCCACATTCTGGGAGAAAACTTACTCTCCTGCCCCCAGGAGCCATCAATAGTCAATAGCGTCTAGCTGGGTGTGGGCTGGATGAGCTCCTCCCCTCTGTGCTGGGATTGTAGCTGGCTTGACCTTGTGCAGGTCATTTGCCTACAGCCACAGCTGCTGTGGTGCATGTGTGCAATGGGTCTGTCGTGGTCAGCAGGTACTGTCACGTCTCTTCCCTTCTGTGCTGGGATTGTAGCTGGCTTGACCTTCTGCAGGTCATTTGCCTACAGCCACAGCTGCTATGGTGCATGTGTGCAATGGGTCTGTCGTGGTCAGCAGGTACTGTCACGTCTCTGTTGTCCACTGCCTCCGGCTTTTACAATCTTTCTACCCCCCATGATCTCTGAGGCTTGGGGAGAGGGTATTTGGATACAGATGTTCCATTTAGAACTGCACAGTCTTTTATTCTCTGAAAACCGGCCATTGTACGTCTCTGTATTAATTGCCATTTACTGCAAAAACAAATTTCTCTGATGAGGATTAAGAGATGCCCACTGTCTCCTAAATTCTTACCTTTAGCATTTAATTAAAAAGAAATAGTACATGAAACATTTGATTTAATCCTGTATATTGATCTGTTTAAGTCCATGTAATGAATCAAATTCTATATTACCTTCAGCTAACTTTGAGTAACTAAGATGCAAAGAATGGAAAAATGACCAGATCTCTAGTACAAAGTTTGAGTGATAAGCTATAAGAATGGTTTATTTTCTTATCAGATGTCAGAAAAAAATCACTATTCTTGACAATTTCAGACAGTAAACTAAAAGGATAACCACAAAGATATCAAAAATAGCTTAGTATCCGATTAAAGGATACATAGATTTAATAACGCTAGGCTGGAAATACAGTTACATGGTTTGAGAATTTGTACTCTATTCAAGTATCCCTCTTTCTTCAGTGAAAGAGGAGATATCTGAAATTGTGAGGGATTTAAGTTTTCTACAGTGATTAATTTGTTTATTTAAAGATGGCTTATGCATCTCTGTGAAATCGAGGCCAACGTGATCTACACAGCAAGTGCTAGGCCAGCTGGGGTTATGGGAAGACCCTATCTTGACCTTAGCCAAGGGACTACTGGCAGCTTATCATTGCTGGATGAGGGAGTGTTGGTCCTCTTTAAGAGAGTGACACTAGATAGGCTGACAGATTCCAGTGAATGAAGTCATACTGAGAGGCAACTGGGGACACAAACATGACTCATAGGCCTTAACAAATATGACAGAATGCATGAAGGCCAGTGGGGGGGCAGGGGGTGCATATAAGGGGGGGGTCTAAATATGATTAAGATGTAGTGCATGAGATACACAAAATTCAATAAAAATGTATTGAAAAAATAAGTTAATTAATAAAAGTAAGTTTTTAAAATGACTTATTTGGAGCACGGGAAGTGCACTGAACACCTTGGAGGAAAGCTTCCAAAGACAATTTAAGAGATGCTTGGCATCTCTGGAGAGCACATATTCTGGTTACAGTGGCTTGGGCAGAGTGTGTGGCTTGCAGAATGAGTTCCCCTGTGAACCAATAATGTTTGCTGTAAAGGTTGAGATGTTATTCAAAGTGACAGAAGTTTCTAGTGTATTTCTTATGCTCTTCTCAGTCCTCTGAGAACAGACTAAGACTGATTGTGTGAAGACTGAATCATGCCAATACCACTCAAGAGTGAATTTGACCCATTGGCATCTCTCCCCACAACTGTGTGAGCATTGGTGCCTGAAATGGGCATCTTGTCTGGGCATTTGTTTTAAATAGTGCTGATTCATTTTTCTCAACTTTGAAAAAGCCGGTGCTAAAAAACTCTTAAATGATTTTTACCAAGCTTAGCACCTTTTTATATCTTACTCTCCATGTCTTTAAATCAAGGTCTCTACTACTAGGGTAACAGAGGTTTGGATGATGGACAAAGTTGTATTTGCTGGATCTTGTTAGTCAAATCTTTCAAAATGAGTTCCTTGGTTTCCTTAGCTTTCCATTTCTAAATATCCAAGATTCTGTTAGTCAAGAATGTGCATTGGATAAATACAAAACTAAAATTTTAAAATACGTCATCTCCAGGGTGATTCACTTGGGGCTGGGGCAGTGAGGTTGTCCACTGGAGTGCTTTAAATGCAGAAATGACTTCGGCTAAAATAGACGTTTTTCTAGTACATTAATGTATTTCCCCAAATACTTTATTGTGGATGTGAACAGTGCTTATAATTCAAAGGCTGTAAAGAAAGAGTAGACCTCGTGACTCTCATGGGATCCTTAAGCTACACTCATCCTTTAAGACCGCAGGTACCTTTTAATTCTGTTCCCTCAGCAAGTGAACAGATGTTCATTTTTTTTCCATCGGTGGGCTGCAGAGATGTGCTGTGCTTGTTATACAGCCCATTGCCATCTACTGTCTTGTTCCCGAAGAGCTTTTGTGAGACTATTTTAGGAGTTTTGTAATCAGCGCCTCCACATTAAATCTGCTGCCTCAGCAGTGTATAAGCCTGGGAGAATGGTTTTGTTTTGTTCAACTTCCCCTCCATGCTGACTTCTGAAAGTTTAAAGCCATGCATGCTTTCTTTAGAAATATCCAAGTCAGGTATTTCGGCATCAGCTACATCCTGGGTTAACATGAGTATTTGAGGAATCCGCTGTAGTTGGCTGTCACCTGGGGTCTTTATCATTTTCATTTGGAAAATACTAGCTCCATCCCTTAATATAGCTGAATTGTTTTAATTTCTCAGTAAGCACTACTACACAGACATAGAGTTGCATCATGTGCAAAGATGGCTGCACTTCATTAGTGTTTTGAAGACGTTTAGGAGATAATAACTGCTGGTTCTTACTGAACATTTACTAATGCCAAGGAATTGTGTTTAGTACTTCATACCAAATAGGTCCAAATAGGTCTCTCAAGAAAATCCTCTGAGGCAGAATGATGATTAAATGAAGGTCATGAGCTCCTAAGGTGTCTACTAGCCTATTACATCTCATACAATATTAGAATCTGTGAAAGTTTGGTTTCAGTTATCAGTCAATCACTGAATTATAACAATTTCCTATATCATGTTAGAATTTCAGTAGAGACTTAGGAAATGTGGAAGAAAAAAAAACCCAACCTCCAGAATAGTAAATAATGAAATCTGCACAGGATGCCTTAAATATTCTTTCATCCGTAGTATTAGATGAAACAGCAGACCTAGTACGTGGTACTGATTGATTGCAATCACTGTTTTAAAACTGCAGAACTAAACAACTGACTTCAGTATCGTCTTAAGAATTTCAGGAAAGGAAATGACTGAATGCTGGTACAATCTAGGATTTGGAAACTGAGGCAGGCGAACCTTTAGTTCAAGGCCTGTTTGGGCTCTGTGAGGAGACTGGGTCTAAAATAAACAAGGAAAAGAAATGAAAAAGGATGGACTGAGAAATAAATAAGCGTATACTACTAATTAAGGAAGCTATAAGACTGCCTGTGTCATCTGTCTGTCTAATTATATAAGTGTAGGAGTTTTTGGTCATGTAGTAATTATAAAAATCCCAGTTTGTTATCCATTTAACATCACAGCTTGCCCTAACATTTAAATAAAGCATTCTGAAGATGGGCCTCCTGTCTCCATTCAGAGGTCATTTTTTTTTCTAAGCTGTCTGGAGAAAAGAAATGTGTCTCATTTTATTATTGACGCAGTGCAGGATGTACCTACTATTGTGACACCGCAAGCTCCACCCTCTGTCCCTCTTATGATCTGTTCTTTTCCCTTTTGCTCGTTTTTCTTTTCCCTCTTTTATTTTTTCCTAACACCATCCAAATGACAGATTTTTGGACAAAATCTTCACCAAAGCTTTGACTAAAACAAGGAATGTTACATATCATTTCTTGTCCAAATACTGCTACCACAGGCCCACGTAGCCTCGAACATTGGCCTTCATGGTACCTGACTCTTTCTCAGCCTGGGATTCTACTTGCTTTAATTAATTTTCCAGATCATAACCAACATCCCTGGAAAAATCTTTTCTGTTGTAGTTGTTTATATCTGTTTAGTGGGACCTGCTCAGTATGTCTGATGGGCTGTCTGTTTTGGAGCCTCACAGAACCATTAGTAAATTTCCCTTGGACAAACGGTTCCTCTCTTAAGAAACATGTTCCTCTTGTGGAGCCCAGGGACTTAATGCAAACCAAATTATAGCAAGTCAGCATGTAATTTAGACATACCAAATAGACATATAATTTCTATTGCAAACTGTAATGAGGAGAGGATTAAGGCAAGAGGGTAATTTAGAAGCTGCCTCAGTGGATCGAGCACAAGGACACGGGGATGGAAAAAGGATAGAAGGAAAATAGACTTAATAGGTTTTGGCTGATTAGACATGAGAGTGGAGGAAAAGTGATTCAAAAGGTCATTTTGTAGTCTGGGGCTCGGCAGAATCGCGGTCTGATTCACTGTCAGAAAATAAGTCAAGTGAGAGGTCCAATTGGGGAGAAAGAGCAGCATAGCATGAGATCAACGTTACTTGTGTCATTTGAGGGAAAATGGCTGGCAGGCTGTAGAGATCGGGAAGGGAGCTAGGAAGAGAGGCAAACATTTGTGAAGTAAAACGTGTTTCTTCAGGCTGAGCACGAGTTGAATCCTGAGGATTTCGAGGAAAGAGAATTGCTGGGAAGCAAAAATGAGAGTGGTGGTAAAGTGAGCATTTATTTCGACCTCTGTTTTTAAATCTGGTAACTACAGACATGTTTAACTCAGCAGGAGCCAGAGCATGTAGCCATCTGAAAACATTTGCAGAATGACGAATTAATTTATAGAAATATTCCAGTTTTTGTCCTCAACCATTATTCATGTAATATCATTAGTATCCTCATATCTGTGTCATACCAGTAGTAGCTAATAATTACTTAATGCCAGCTACATGCTGGCTATTGTGTTTTTGTTTTTGTTTTAATTTTATTTATTATTTTTATTTTATGTGTATGTGTGTATTGCCTGCATGTAGGTAGGCGCACCCATGTCGTGCAATGCCTGCAGAGGTCAGAAGAGTCAGATCCCCTGGGATTGGAGTTACAGACAGTTGTTAGCTGCCATGTGGGTGCTGGGATTCAAACCCGGGTCTTTTGCAAGAACAACCAGTGTTCTTAACTGCTGAGCCATCTCTCTAGCCCCTGGCTATTGTGTTTTGTATTTTGTTCTTGTTCTTTAAAAACAGAGCTTATTACTATTTATAAAAAGCTACAGTGTACAGAAATATTCCAACCATGCTCAATATAACTTAAAATTCACATTTCCCCATAAGGTAACAGTCCCCCATGGAATCATATGTAGACCCTGCCCATTTAATGACTTACTTTGCATTGATTTTTTTTTTTTTTTTGAGACAGGGTTTTATGTAGCCTAGTATGGCCTCGGATTCTATATGTAGCCAAAGATGACTTTGAGCTTCTGATCTGCCTGAATCTATCTCCTGGGGTCTAAGATTACACACATATGCCATCAAACCTGGAGTGAAATGAGCTTTGGAGGGTGGGGGTTTTGATCCCAGGGCCTTGGGTTCAAATACTAGGCAAACACTCTCCACCTGGGCTCTATCCCAGTTACTGTTTTAGGTACAACTTGTTTTCTTTGTATGAATCATATACTATGGGTTATTTTTATAAGTATTCTTTTACAAGAAGTAGCAGGGACAGAGAGATTAACCAAGTTCTCCATGGTCCCACTGCTTTTAAGGTACATAGCTGGGAGCTGAGCTTACAGATTTATCACTTTAAATCAGGGTGCCATCCTGCTGTTCTTGGAAATCATCGTTCTACAACAATATTGTCTGGGTCTTTCTAGCACAATCTTGCTTACATGATCCCCCCAAGTAGTCTGTTTCGTGTGAAGGAAATACGACTCTCTTAGACCTACATTTCAATAGGTTACTCTTGGTGATGTGTGTTTCCTGTTGGATTTTTTTTTTTTTTCCAGAGCTGAGGACCAAACCCAGGGTTTTGCGCTTGCTAGGCAAGCGCTCTACCACTGAGCTAAATCCCCAACCCTTCCTGTTGGATTTTTAATAGAATGGTAAACAGCAGTTTCCTCCAAAGGAAATCTGTATAGGGCTAAAGGTGAATGCAGCACAGGAAACTGAGTTGCTATGGAGGATTCACAGCAGTCACTAACCTAAGAAGGAAATAAGTGTTTACACAGTACACAGATGCACAAGGTTGAACGACATGCACGTGATTAATACGCACCTGCAGGAAGTCATAAACATTGTTGGTTTTCATTAGTGGGTTTGGGATAAAACTCCCACCAATACACCAGTTTTCTAGTAATCAGTAGAAATTGTTTGGGGCTGGAGAGAATGCTCAGCATTTAAGAACACTGGCTGCTCTTGCAGAGGACCCAGGTTTGATTCCCAACACCTACATGGTGGCTAACATCTGTCCATAACTCCAGTTCCACGGTATCCGATGCCCTCTTCTGACTTCGGTGGGCATTGTATGACATGGTGCCCCTACCTACATCCAGGCAGCACATTCATTCATGTAAGATAAAAATAATAAATAAACTTTAAAAACAGAAACTGGTGAGTGTCTTCTTTCTGAGAAGATTCATCTTAGCATGATATTTCTTCTTGAGGTAGACTTGGGGTGGCCATGTACCATAATGCAGCACCCATTCATTTTAGCATGAAGTCACTAAAAAACCCATTTTCAGTCAGTACTCCAAGCTTTGATTAGACAATGGCTAGTCACGCAAGAAGTTAACACAAGGGCACCCCAGGCTAGACTGTGAATAACATCTGAAGAAAGAGAACTGGGGCAAATGCCAAGATCCAGAGTTGGAGATGAAACTTAGATTCAAAGGCTTGTAAAGGGCAAATATACGAACACATGCATAGACTATATGGGAAGTAAACATGGAAGGTGGCACTAAGGGTAGAACTCAGACAAGTTAATGAACATGCTTCCCAGGGCACACGAGGCATCTGCAGTACAGTGATGACTCTCCATTTTCCTGCTCATGAGAATGTTTGTCTTGAGCCTTTTCCCTTGGAATGTGTGTAGCTACCCAAGAGCAGAACTGCGCGCTTCTTCGCACACTCCCTCCCACAGCATTGCAAGACGGTGATGCTCCTTGTTTTGTGCTCTTGTTTTATTTTTCTTGAATAGGTTGTTTTTCAAGGTCAAATGGTTGCAGCTCACGAACAGGAGGAAGTTATAGCTGTTGATGACGTATCTTTTAGTTCGGGCTGCTTGCCTGCAGAGGGTAAGAACTTTTTCTCTCCTTTTGATTATTATTGTGTAAAATAACTTTGAAATGATGTGAGCATTGTAATGGCTCTGATCTGCTCTCTGTGTTTCTGTAATGTTACATATTGGATGTTCAATGTTTTAATACATTGTATAACAGTGACTTTATATCATAAGTGAAGATACGCTGTTTTTGTTAACAACACTGATGCTATAAAGGATCGAGAGGGATGATTTATCTTAGATCTTAAAATCTTTAGTATTGTTTACAGTGGCTAGTTAGATATTTGCTAGAGAACTCTTTGGCCTCTGGAGAGCTGGTAGAAAATTGGCTTCAACACACTTGAAATTGTTCTGGCTTGATATTAATTTTAATCTACATTCTATTTAGACTGAAACAGATACATTAATAATATACTATGTCAAATTTAAAACAGTAATCATATTGACCTCTTGGCTATCCTAATCAAATAATTCCACATTTGTATTTTGATAGAAAAATTCAAAGTTAAACTACAAAATTTTTAGAATAAAATAATTAAACCAAATATGTAAGAATCAGGCTTATGTGTGTGTGTGTTTTCTTTACATGTTTACTGCACTGTGGTACAACAAACACAGCAGAAATAAGACAATTATATTAGTCCATTTTCTGTTACTACAGTGAAATACTTGAGACTAGATGATAGATAATGAAAAGGAGTTGGTTTAGCTCTCGGCTCTGGAGGGCCAAGGACATCTGCCTCACTCTGGTGAGGACTTCGTGGCAGAAGTACAGCATGGCGGTTGATTCATAGCACAAGAGTCTATGAGAGAAAAATAGCATGTAAAATGGGAAACCAGAGAAACTGAGGAGGAGGCCTTCTTGGCCTTTTATAATACTCCTCTCATGAGAACAAACCTGGATTCCACAAGAACTACAGTAGTGCTTTCTAAGGTAGGGACCCATGTGATTAGTGAGCCCCGACTAAATGCCTTCTTTTAACTATGCAGCTGTTTTGTAGAAAGGGGTTCCTGGTTCTAATTTGGGCCAAAGATATGGTAGTTTTTGCTACTATGACAGAGGTTATAGATACGTGGGCTTTATGGGAGCTGGGATAGCCTCTCTCACACTGAAGCATAAAGATCTCTGTTATCAATGGTCAGTGCATAGCACATAAGAAATCCCTGTAGGATGCACCAAAGTAGAGACCCTCAGGGTCACAGATTGCACACTCCACCCAGTTTTAGAAGTAAATAATTGAACTGTCAATCTCAATGACTTTTCAGTAAAAGAAGATGCAATTTATTAGACTTAACAGAGGGATGCAGTGTGTCAGAATGGAATGTGTGATTGGTTCATTGCAGGCCACACTGCTCCACACTGCTGGCAGCTCTTCTGTTCAACTCTTCCCTCAGACTCTCTCCTGCCACCCTGGGTGGTGCTCCTGGATGCAGCCAGCTAGTGCTGGAGGTTTTAATAAGATATGTGTTTCTGGACCCTGTTTATGTCTGCTGTATCTTTACAGAAATTATATATTTTCTGCTGAAATTTGGGCCTGTCAAACAAAATGATCTCCAACTAGCCATATTCATTGGCCAGTCTAGTTAATCACCCTCAAAAAAGGAAATGGACAATGAGATCAGCTATTGGCTGGGCATTTCCTTGCTGTTGAGCTTCTGCCATTTAAACGGTATTTACATTATAAATCTACACAAGAATATTCTTGATGGTGTTTGGGAGTGCAGATGGCCTGTAATGAGACCCTTCTATCATTTTAAACATGAACTTTCTCTCCATTGTTGGCCCTAGAAGCTAATACAATCTTTCTAATTATCTGTGATCTGCCTACTGGGACAATAGCCAAGGGCCACAATAAATACTCAAAAGATGAATGCCAGAGTTTGTAGTTAAGCACTTCGAAAACCTCCAGAAAGAAGTCTAAAAGATAGTTGTAGGGAATAGATGGTAAGTTTGGGCATTTAAGAGAAACCTGGGACCAAAAAGACAAAAACCCCGGGCTATAATTTTTAAGACAAGAGGCATTATACTCATAATGTATGTGAGCAAGTGTGGGAGTGAAACCTACTCCAGACAGGCCATCTATAAATTTCAGGGCTATTTTTCACTGTCTTTCATATGTTAAACTCACACAACATGGAAAGGTTTGGGACCAGAGAAGATGGCTTTAAAATCAAAGACTGAAGTCTTCAGTAAATATAGAAGTCAGACTTACATAAAAGACAGAGTCATGATAAGGCAGATATCATGAACCTAGGAAATTTGCATATAGAGGAATAAATAATTGTGTGAAGGCGAAATTGGGGGATTAAGGGAATGGCAATCTTAATGTTAGGCCTTGTAATTTACAGGGTGTTAAAAAAAGGATGCCAAATCTCAGAAAAGCCGTGACAGGTATGTGCTTCTTTAAGAAGACATTGAAGAGTTAAAGTCATCTGCTGTGTTCTTTGAAGGTGATATAGAATTTTTAGTGTTTTGTTAACAAATAAAGTAAAAATTTAAGGGCACAATTAAACTGGAAGGGAAAACCAGCAGCATAAGGAGCAGTGGAGAAAATGTGGTGATTGCTGGAGAATCCTGGCTCTAGGAGGCAGTTAGTTTGTAGATGGCAGGAGTGTGAAAGATGGTTAAATTAGGGGGGCTGCTCAGCAGTTAAGAGCACTGACTGCTCTTGTAGAGGACCCGGGTTCGATTCCCAGCACCCACATGGTGGCTAGAACCATCCTTAACTCCAGTTGCAGGGGAACCCGAAGCCTTCTTCTGATCTTTGCAGCATTGCATGACACGGGTACACTCACATATACGTAGGCAGTACACTCATACACATAAAATAAAAATAATAAATAAAATATTTAAAAAAAAGAAAGATGGTTAAATTAAGCAGGCTTAAATTTCCAATGGGACTGTGCAGTCAGCTTGGGGTAGTAACGTAACAGGCTGAACACAGGTAATCATCAGAGCCACACGTGTGAGTGTTTGGTGCTGGGCTTCCCTCCAGACCCACTCCACTCGCTGACAATCGCTGAAGATGGGCTTGCATTTTAAATTAAATCCTCAGGATGTTTTCTGAGATGTGTGCTAGGCCAAGCTTAAATACAGACCTGGCATTTAGAAAATCGAGTCCTGGTTCTTCACTGATCTTGTACAACGTGATGACTGCTATGGAACAGCATCTCAATGAACTAGAATCAGAGACTGAGTTTACTGAACTCCTGGGGTAGAGGTGGGGGGTGGGTGGGAGCAACTGAGGTAGGGAAGCAAAGCCAGATCAATCTCTTCTGGCCTTTCCATTAGAAAATCCCTTCTGATGCTTAGGCATGCATTTAATTGTATATAAACAGACAAATATGGTTCAAAGTCTTCAGAAAATAACAGAGAGAGTTATGGCATAGGTAATTAGGTCGACCCACTCCAAAACTGTGAAAGTCAAGACTAAAGTGCCGGCTTCAGGATCTCTTTGTGCTATTCATCTTATGGTCATGAAATGGTGGTTGAAGCCCTATTCACCTTAAGTTTGAGACAGGAGAAAGGAAGGAATAGGGTGGAGGAATATTTTTGTTCATGTCATTGGCCAGTCAATGTTACATGGATGTCTTTTGTTGCTAGGAAGCACAAAGCCTGAATATTTAGCTTTTAGTCCTGTAATAAAAACAAGCAATGTAAACAGGTTTGAGTTGATTGCACAGATGACTTTCCTTCAGAAATTCAACTTATTTAGAGCTAAATTTCTATTTTCTTTCCAAATCTGTTCCTTCTCTTTTATTTTTCATTTTTGTCATTGGCATATTCTTCACCAGAAGCCCTTCTCTAAAAAGAAATACTGTGGTAAGTTTTCTGGGTGTGAAAAATAAATAAAATAAAATAAAATAAAAATACCAGAGAAAAACTGGTAACTTTAAGAATAGAGGAAGAGGAACTGGAATTAAAAAATATGCAGACAATATATAAAAATAAATAAATAAGCCGGGCGTGGTGGTGCACGCCTTTAATCCCAGCACTTGGGAGGCAGAGGCAGGTGGATCTCTGTGAGTTCAAGGCCAGCCTGGTCTACATAGTGAGTTCCAGGACAGCTGGGG